GACAACTTCAATCTTCTCTCCATTTATCATGATGTTGCTGATTGGCCCAGTTGTGAGGGTTTTCATTTCCTTATGTTGAGGTGTAATCCGTAATGAAGACTGTACTCTTTGATCTTCATCAGTAAGTGCTTCAAGTCATCTTCACTTTCAGCAAGCAAGGTTGTGTCATCTGCATATCACAGGCTGTTAATGATTCTTCCTCCAATTCTGATGCTGTAATCTTTTTCATATAGTCCAGCTTCTCAGATTATTTGCTCAGTATACAGATTGAATAAGTATGGTGAGAGGATACAACGCTGATGTACATCCTTCCTGATTTTGAACCATTCAGTATCCCCTTGTTCTCTTTGAATGACAGCCTCTTGGTCTATGTACAGGCTTCTCATGACCTCAATTAAGTGTATTGGAATTCCCATTCTTTGCAATATTATTGATAATTTGTTATAATCCGCAGAGCTGAATGCCTTTGCATAGTCAGTAAAACACAGGTAGGCATCTTTCTGGTATTCTTCGCATTCAGCTAAGATCCATCTGACATCAGCAATGATATCCCTTGTTCCAAGTCCTCTTCTGATTCCAGCTTGCATTTCTCAAAGTTTCCTGTCAATATACTGCTGCAACCACTTTTGAATTATCTTCAGCAAAATCTTACTTGTATGTGATAATAATATTGTTCGATAATTTCCACATTCTGTTGGATCACTTTTCTTTGGAATGGGCACAAATTTCGATCTCTTCCAGTCAGTTGGCCAGGTAGATGTTTTCCAAATTTCTTGAGTGATATTAGACAATCACAAAAGGAGAAATATTGTATGAAACCGCTACTATAAAAAGTCAAGAAAAGGTTTACTCACAGAAAGAAACATTCTTTGAAGGTTACCATAGGTGGGAGGGGACGGTAGGAAGGGTAAATCATTAATTAGAGTGCAGACACATATTAACTTGGGTGAAGAGAAAAGACATACACAATAAGGGGAAGGTCAGCACAAAATGATCAAGGCAAAGGAAGACACTGGGAGGAATACAGAGTTAAAGACAAAAAAGGTAAATACTATAACATATGCAATTCTGCAGTAACAGAGTAACAATAATCTATGAGTGGACACATAGACACACAAATTGAGCATGTGTGGGAAGATGAATGAGATTACACTCATGAACATGTATCAGTGTGACAGAGACTATTTCTACATATGAGCTACAAATATATCCATGAATATAGTAGAGCATACAGGGGTCAAAGTTATGAAAACTTCTTAGCCATAACTAAACACATTGAAGGAATGAGCTGCTGGGCCTGTGGGCTTAGGGCCATAGTCTCAGGGGACATCAAGGTCAACTGGCATAACATAGTACACAAAGACAGTGTTCTACATCCAACTTTGTTGACTCGCAACTGGGGTCTTAAAAGCTGTGAGCAGCCATCTAAGATGCAACTACTTGTCTCTCCCCATCCAAAGCAAAGAAGAGTGAAGAAAATCAAAGACACATGGAAACAATTAGTCCAAAGGACTTATGGACCACACAAACTCTAGCTTCCATGACGCTGACACTAGGAGAACTGGATGGTGCCTGGTTAGCACTGCTGACTTCTCTGAAAGGGATCACAGTAGAAAGTCCTGGATAGAATGGGAGAAAAATGTGGAATAAAACTCAAAATCATATAAAAGATCAGGTTTACTGCTCTGATAGAGATTGGTGGAAACTCTGAAACTATGGCCCTTAAGGCCTCCCAGACACCCTTCAGGCCAGGAACTGAACTCACCCTCATGGCTCAACTTTCAGTCAAACAAGACAGGCCTATAAGGTGTACAATAACACCAGGGATGTACACAATCCTTAGAACAATCAACCATATAAGATTAAAAGGGCAGCATTCACCCAGGGATAAAGCTCAGAACACAAGAAGGAATAGCAAAGAAGGATGAATGGAAATGGGAAACACGGTGTGTGAAGATTGCTGGTACATTCTGGGGATTGCAATCAATGTCATAAAACAAAATGTATATGAACTGTTGAATGGAAAACCAGTTTTCTCTGTAAACTTTCACCCAAATCATAGTGAGATTTTAAAAAAGAAAAAAAAAATGCTGGACAAATAATTTCTAGAAAGCAATTTTGTTGTACAACATTTAAGAAATAGCTTGACTTTTCTTTAATATGATGAAATGCTGTAAACAAATAGGAGTGATCATGATATAATTGCTAATTATAAATCCAGTCAGCAAGAAAATAAGGAAATAATTATCACTTACCTTTCTTTTTTGTAATTTTTTTTATTGCTGTAAAAAAATATGTTGTTGTTGTTATGTGCTGTCGAGTCAAACCCGACTCATAGCGACCCCTCCTTGGGTTTCCGAGGCAGTATCACTACAGAAGTAGGATTGCCCAACCTTCCTTCCGAGGAGTGGCTG